CATCATACACCACTCATCATGCACCACTCATCATACACCACTCATCAGACACCACTCATCATACACCACTCATCATCCAGTTAGCTCTAATTTCAAGAGCTCTAGCTCCATTCAGCTCTAGTTGCGAGAGCTCTAGTTTCAACAGCTCTAGCTCCAGTTAGCTCTAGTTTCAATAGCTCTAGCTCCAGTTTACGTGGCAGGCGCAGCACTTTGTGAACCTCCATGTGCAGATTTCGTGGCAGGCACAGCACTTTGTGAACCTCCATGTGCAGAGTTCGTGGCAGGCACAGCACTTTGTGAACCTCGTGGCAGGCGCAATACAAAATGCATTTTCGAGAGATAGCGGACGCACGAAATGCTGTGCTTTTCAATAGAAAGGGTGGCTCCGAAGCTTGCAAGTCAAGCTTTGCGGATCGGCGTGTGCGAGACGGTCTCGAGTCATTCTCGGATCATGCTCGGAATCGTCCCTCCATTGGGATTAGAGTTTTCAGTTGTTTCTTGAAGTGCAGATTTCGTGGCAGGCACAGCACTTTGTGAACCTCCATGTGCAGATTTCGTGGCAGGTGCAGCACTTTGTGAACCTCCATGTGCAGAGTTCGTGGCAGGCGCAGCACTTTGCACTTTGTGAACCTCGAGGTGCAGATTGCGTGGCCGGCACAGCACTTTGTCACTTTGTGAACCTCCATGTGCAGAGTTCGTGGCAGGCACATGTGAACATCCATGTGTAGATTTCGTGGCAGACACAGCACTTTGTGAACCTCCATGCGCAGAGTTCGTGGCAGGCGCAGCACTTTGTGAACCTCGAGGTGCAGATTTCGTGGCAGGCACAGCACATGCGTTTTCGAGAGATAGCGGACGCACGAAATGCTGTGTTTTTCAAAAGAAAGGGTGGCTCCGAAGCTTGCAAGTCAAGTTTTGCGGAACGACGTCTGCGAGACGGTCTCGGGTCATTCTCGGATCATGCTTGGAATCGTCCCTCCACTGTGGTTAGAGTTTTCACTTGTTTCTTGAAGTGCAGATTTCGTGGCAGGCACCGCGCTTTGTGAACCTCCATGTGCAGATTTCGTGGCAGGCCCAGCACTTTGTGAACCTCGAGGTGCAGATTTCGTGGCAGGCACAGCACTTTGTGAACCTCCATGTGCAGGTGAGACCTGGTGACTTAGTCAAAGGAAGTTTAGTGTGCAAAACTTCCGTGTTACGGACATTCCACAGCTGTTCAACCACCACTCATCATACACCACTCATCAAGCACCACTCATCATGCACCACTCATCATACACCACTCATCATACACCACTTTTCATACACCACTCATCATACACCACTCATCATACACCACTCATCATACACCACTCATCATACACCACTCGTCATACACCACTCATCATACACCACTCATCATACATGTGCAGATTTCGTGGCAGGCGCAGCACTTTGTGCACCTCCATGTGCAGATTTCGTGGCAGGCGCAATACAAAATGCGTTGTGGAGAGATAGCGAACGCACGAAATGCTGTATTTTTCAATGGAACCGGTGGCTCCGAAGCTGGCAAGTCAAGGTCTGCGGAACGACGGTTGCGAGACGGTCTCGGGTCGTTCTCGGATCATTCTCGGGCATGGTCGGAATCGTCCCTCCATTGGGATTAGAATTTTCACTTGTTTCTTGAAGTGCAGATTTCGTGGCAGGTACAGAACTTTGTGAACCTGCATGTGCAGATTTCGTGGCAGGCCCAACACTTTGTGAACCTCCATGTGCAGATTTCGTGGCAGGTGCAGCACTTTGTGAACCTCCATGTGCAGATTTCGTGGCAGGTGCAGCACTTTGTGAACCTCCATGTGCAGATTTCGTGGCAGGTGCAGCACTTTGTGAACCTCCATGTGCAGATTTCCTGGCAGGCACAGCACTTTGTGAACCTCCATGTGCAGATTTCGTGGCAGGTGCAGCACTTTGTGAACCTCCATGTGCAGATTTCGTGGCAGGCACAGCGCTTTTTGCACCTCCATGTGCAGATTTTGTGGCAGGCGCAATACAAAATGCGTTGTGGAGAGATAGCGAACGCACGAAATGCTCTATTTTTCAATGGAACCGGTGGCTCCGAAGCTGGCAAGTCAAGGTCTGCGGAACGACGGTTGCGAGACGGTCTCGGGTCATTCTCGGATCATTCTTGAAGTGCAGATTTCGTGGCAGGCTCAGCAGTTTGTGAACCTGCATGTGCAGATTTCGTGGCAGGCACAACACTTTGTGAACCTCCATGTGCAGATTTTGTGAACCTCCATGTGCAGATGTCGTGGCAGGTGCAGCACTTTGTGAACCTCCATGTGCAGATTTCGTGGCAGGCGCAGTACTTTGTGAACGTCCATGTATAGAGTTCGTGGCAGGCGCAGCACTTTGTGAACGTGTGGAGATTTCGTGGCAGGTGCAGCGCTTTGTGAACCTCCATGTGCAGATTTCGTGGCAGGCGCAGCACTTTGTGAACCTCCATGTGCAGATTTCGTTGCAGGCACAGCACTTTGTGAACCTCCATGTGCAGATTTCGTGGCAGGTGCAGCGCTTTGTGAACCTCCATGTGCAGATTTCGTGGCAGGCGCAGCATTGTGAACCTCCATGCGCAGATTTTGTGGCAGGTGCAGCACTTTGTGAACCTCCATGTGCAGATTTCGTGGCAGGTGCAGCACTTTGTGAACCTCCATGTGTAGATTTCGTGGCAGGCACAGCGCTTTGTGAACCTCCATGCGCAGATTTCGTGGCAGGCACAGCATCTGGGGAGCTGGAAGCTGAGATCTGGCGACATTGTAGTACAACTTTAGTACGCGGAGCAATCTGTAGAGCTGGAAGCTGAGAACTGGCGACTTTCTAGTACAACTTTAGTACGCGGAGCAATCTGTAGAGCTGGAAGCTGAGAACTGGCGACTTTCTAGTGCAACTTTAGTACGCGGAGCAATCTGTAGAGCTGGAAGCTGAGAACTGGCGACTTTCGAGTACAACTTTAGTACGCGGAGCAATCTGTAGAGCTGGAAGCTGAGAACTGGCGACTTTGTAGTACAACTTTAGTCCGCGGAGCAATCTGTGCAGCTAGAAGCTGAGAACTGGCGACTGTGTAGTACAACTGCAGTGCGCGGAGCAATCTGTAGAGCTGGAAGATGAGAACTGACTGGCGACTTTCTAGTACAACTTTAGCACACGGAACAACCTGTGGAGCTGGAAGCTGAGAACTGGCCACTTTGTAGTACAAGTGTAGTACGCGGAGGAGTCATCTCCCGCGACTGAGTCATCTCTTGCTGCTCATTCATCTCTCGCTGCTGAGTCAGCTCTCGCTATAGCCATCTCTCGCGGCTGAGTCATCTCTCGCGACTCAGTCATCTCTCGCTGCTGAGTCATCTCTCGCGGCGTGCAGGTTTGGCACAGTTCATACTGATAGTATTTGGTTGCATTTATGCAGGGCAGGACATTCAACTGCTGGTCAATACACCACTCATCATACACACTGATCCTGCAGGGGGCACACACCTTACACACATGTGGAATCCCGCGGGTCAAAAGTCCGGAGCGCGTGCGTTTGACTGGAGGACGCGCATGTTGGAGAGAACGTGGACACTCCTATAGGTCAATTTGTTCTTATAGGAAACTTCCGCCGCCGGCTTGCCCGGGAACTGCTTGTAGTACAACTTTCGTTCGCGGAGCAATCTGTGGAGCTGGAAGCTGAGAACTGGCGACTTTGTAGTACAACTTTAGTGCGCGGAGTACCTGGGGAGCTGGAAGCTGAGAACTGGCGACTTTGTAGTACAACTTTAGTGGAGCTGGAAGCTGAGAACTGGCGACTTTGTAGTACAACTTTAGTACGCGGAGCAATCTGGGGAGCTGGAAGCTGAGAACTGGCGACGTTGTAGTACAACTTTAGCACGCGGACTATCTGGGGAGCTGGAAGATGAGAACGGGCGACTTTCTAGTACAACTTTAGTATGCGGAGCAATCTGGAAGCTGAGAGCTGGCGACTTTGTAGTACAACTTTAGTACGTGGAGCAATCTGGGGAGCTGGAAGCTGAGAACTGGTGACTTTGTAGTACAACTTTAGTACGCGGAGTCTCTGGGCAGCTGGAAGATGAGAACTGGCGACTTTCTAGTGCAACTTTAGTACGCGTAGCATCTGGCGAGCTGGAAGATGAGAACTGGCGGCTTTGTAGTGCAACTTTAGTACGCGGAGTATCTGGGGAGCTGGAAGATGAGAACTGGCGACTTTGTAGTACAACTTTAGTACGCGGAGTATCTGGGGAGCTGGAAGATGAGAACTGGCGACTTTGTAGTACAAGTTTAGTACGCGGAGCAATCTGTGGAGCTGGAAGCTGAGACCTGGCGATTTAGTAGTGCAACTTTAGTACGCGGCTGAGTCATCTCTCGCCGCTGCTCTGGCGTCCCTGCAGCTGAGTCATGTCTCCCGACCACCCGGCTCTCTTGAGAGGTTGACAAATTTTAGCTACTTTGCTGACTCAAAAGTAGTCATTTCGATTACTTTCTGGAGACCTCAAAACACGTGTTTTGAGAGGTTGACAAATTTGAGCTAATTAGCTTCGTGTCTAAACAAGCTATCACATCATAGTTAACGTCTAGCTCCAGTTAGCTTTAGTGGAGCTCGGAGCTAGAGCTAGAGCTATGCTTCACTCATCACTCATCACTCATGCGTCTGACTGAGGGACACGAGGGACACGCATGGTGGAAAGAACCGGGCCACTCCTATAGGTCAATTTGTTCTTTTCGGAAACTTCCGCCGCCGGCTTGCCCGGGAACTGCTTGTACGAAGTGATACGAAGTACGCTGGTACAGACAAGACATGCCAAACCATGGCTGTGGTCTAGAACAGTGGCGACATGCATTTCACGTCCGAAACAATATTGCAGTACCATCACGCTCCTGACGTTCCTGGAAAGGCTACTACAAGCAACGCGCGCACTACCAGATGCTGAGTTTGGCAAGGAACTACCATGGGGACTCCGGTGGATAAGGCCTCCATGAAGCTGTTCTGTCCACCATGAGTTAGGAAGACATCCACTCCAAGTCGAAGCAAATCCACCTGACGAAGCTCTGAAAAAGAAGGGAACGGCCAAAGCCAAATGAATGAAATTTGGAGACACCTCCAGCTCCCTGACTGGGTGTGCCAACAATCACCGATCTTAAGTAGAATTTGAGAACATCTAGCCACCCTCCTTCCTACTCACCGCACTCAGACTCAGTGCCAGGTTCCCTTTTCGCACCACGCCCCACCTGCGGAAGCGTAGCGCGGCAGAAGACGTTCGGTGGCACCTGCGAGGCGGAGCCTTGTTTCGCTAAGAGGAATGGGACGGAGCGACGCAAAGGTTGTTGGGAAAAAGAAGAACAACACAACGACACAACTAGGAACAATGTTACCTATGTTCGGGGCTCCTGGCATCGCTAACTAGGAGCAAAGAAACTACTAGGAGCCAGGACGCTACTAGGGGCTCCTCGCCTTACTAGTAGCAACAAGAAGCTACTAGTAACAAGGGCATTACTACTAGTAGCAAGAAGCTATTAAGAAGCTATCATCGTTCATCTCCTTTCATCTCCTTCTAATTCTTTCTAGGTGATTTCCTCCAACCCACCGCCGGACTGTGACCCACCTGTAGGTGGTCGAGGGCATCCGCTTGAGGTCCCAAGGCCAACAGGATCAGCGCGTCCTCCGTCCCAAAGACGTCGAAGGCCGCTTGCCAGGCGGACTGACAGAGCTCCTCGAGAGTTGGTGGGTCATGGCGACTCCGGACGGAACATGAACAGAATCGACTAAGGAGCTCCACCTACCATGGTGAAATGCGCCAAGTGAAGTTTACTTGCCTCTAGAACTCTTGAGGAAGATCTGTTCAGTATGCTGGGAGAGCGAGAATAGGATTGGTTGTGATTGGTGATCGCTAATTAGTTGTTGAGAATCAAGTCAAACAGTTGTGGACATCTAGAAGCTGCTGCCAGGTTGACCAAGCTGGGTCGCTTCTGCTGTTGCTCAATCGTATTGTGTCTTCCACAAGCTTAGTTCCCTTCAGTTCTCGCATGGAAAGTCATGGATCCTTCGGATTGAAATTTCTTTTTCAACGTACGAAACGGCCCTGAAGTTCTCCTTGCCGGATAGGCCTCTCTTCTCTCCGTCGATGCTGCAATGGGCGTTCCAGCCGTAGTCGACATGATCTCCCGTGATGACGGTCCCAAGACTCACCAAAATCACCAGGCGGCCTTCGGCCTTCGCTGCGCGCGCCAAGGCCAAGACTTCTTCTTCAGAGCTGCTTTCTCCGTCACTGGAAGGGTGGCCAAACTTGTGACCAGCTGCACGCTTGGCACCTGAAACGAGGGGAAGAGAGGCGAAAAGCAGCGCTGTTTGCGATGCTAATTGCAAGGTCACCGAGCCACAGCTGAGCTAGATAGGGTAGCAGTGGTCGATGGTGAAGAATTGGAATCACATGGTCTGGAACATGAAAAGAAAGGAAAAAAAAGGAAAAGACAATAATAGTTTTCTTGTTCCTACTGGTAAGGCCAGGAGCCCCTTTCTAGTGTCCTTTCTCGTAGTAGGGATGCCCTTTGTTCCTAGCAGTTTCCTGCTAAAAATTAGATCTTTTGAGCCATAGTCACCAGGCTTGTCCAACAAAGGGCCCAAGAATAGAAATTCATGGCCGTCGTAAGCTTTCTCCAAGTCTGCGGGCATTGGATCCGCCAGAAACTCTGCGGTGGTGACCAAGGTCAGGGCAGAAGCCAAAGCACTTGGCATCAGGCCTCGGGAAACTGGAGCGAAGCTCGGGTGAAACAAAACACCCGAGAAGCACCATCTTAGCTATAGCTGATTTGGCATCTTGGAAGACATGTGGCTAGCTACCAGAGGGAGCAAATCTTCGATCTTCGCTTTGGTGGGCTCGGTGAACCTAGTAGGTGATGTCCTCCAGCCTACGACCGCGATAGCCTTCAACCTAATAGCAAATCTTGGTCCAAAAGCGCCATTGAGCGCCCAGAAACCCACTGGCTTCAAGGTATCCTCCACAGGCATCTGGAGCCCATAACGTTCTCGCAGTCGATCCAAGCACTCGTGAAGTGCTGGAAAGCTGAGGCGTTCCTCTAAGATCTCTTCGGCGGTGGAGCTGACGGACTTCAACAGGTTGTTAAAAATGAGTTTCACACCTCACCGACTCGAAGACAGTGAAGAAATTCCACGCGAAGACTTCGACGCGAAGAAGCTGTTTGGTTTAACACCTCTACATGACAGGTCCCTTTTTTGGTGTCTGAGGAAATTCCGTTTGGAAAAAGAGGTGCCCAGAGTCTGTCCGCTTCGCCTTCCAAACATGTTTGAAAAGAAAGGTGGTATACAGTTCGCTTACTACTCAGAAAGGCCAATGAAACCCGGGAAGAAAAAGCAAACGCGAACATTCCGATGAGCCGAAGGACTCCCAGGCCCTGCAGTGGTCAGCCGCCCTGCCGAAGGAATACCCAAGATTTGAGCTGCTAATGGCGCTTCTAAGTTGACGAGAGGGCAGAAGAGCACGGCGTCCGCATGGATGCTGCGAAGCCAACGCAAGGTGCCCGGAAGCATCAGCTCAATGGCTAGCTCTCGCAAGAGCAAACGTGCTTTGGTGAAGCTGCCTTTCAAGCCGTGTTCTTCTTGAAGAGATCCAAGAGCACCGAACATGGCTGGATCCCGACCTTCATAGAGCTCATGTTGCATCTGAATGTCGCTGTGAAAGCTGGCGCCAGTGTCTTCGATCGCTTCCCTCATCTGTTCCCGGCACAAGTAGTGCACTTCATGCCCCAGGCTCACAAGACTTCGGGCGATGGCCAACGAAGGATTGATGTGACCAGAGGCCATGGGAAAAACAAAAGCGAAAGAACGGGCACCGCCAACGGGCGGACCGCCGGTACGACCTTCTACCTCGGCAAGAGGATTTGTCATCTCCATCCTTTTTGGAGGAGTTTTGGGAGGAACTGTACTTGCAAAGAAAAGCTTGGTCTGAGCCAGGATAGAACCGCTGAAACTTTTGAAGAAACCCATTGGAAAGCTCCATCCGACTCGCTACTCAATATCTACCCGAGTATACCGACTTCCATGTGGCAATAGATGTCCACTTTCACCTAAGCCATCTTCCAGCAAACTCCTTGGGTGCTTTCCCTCCACCCAGCATCTTCACCCCCTTCATCCCCTTCAAGGGGGGTCTCCCTTTTTCCTTTCACCAGCACTGCTCAACGTGGATGGCCCCGGATCTAAGGATCACACCGTTCTGCGCCTCCGCGAAGCACTGCTCCGCCTGCGCCGCGTCGCCCAGCACCGCGCCCAGCAGCGCCTCCCGACGCGGCGCCAGCGCCGCCAGCAGCGCGGCCGGGCGCGAGGGGAGCTCCGCCCGCAGGGCGGACAGCAGCGCCTCGGGCGGACGCCATTTGTTCATGTAGTTCGATGTTTTTCCTGACCTTTAGAGTTCTTTTTAGTCAGAAATTCCTTTAGGTCACTTGGAAATGTGTTGGAAAGAGTGGATTCATCGGCTTGGACTCTTCAGTGTCGGGAACCACGCCACAGAATAGACCGATTGGACACAAGGCCTCCACGATGCTCAGGTGGTACAGGATTTGAGCCATCTGTTGGTGTATCATCACTGCTCTCTTCCATCACCTAACCTAAAGGAAACAACTGGTCATAGAACGTCACGTTGGTGATGGAAGCATTTCCACATGGTGGGCAACCCGACCCGAGGTCCCGGTCGTCACCCGTGCGACGCGACGAAGCGCGTGACCCGGGGACACGCCGGTCGCACCAGCGAAGAGACCAAGTGAGTGACTTTGTTACTACTAGTAAGGCACTTGTTTCTAATAGCTAACAGCGAGCCTTCTCCACCACAGAGATGATGCAAATGCGCAAAGTGGCATCGCTGATCGAGCCCTGCGACAAAAAGGATTTGAACAACTTGTGTCTTGGAAGAATTTGCAGAAACGACATGAACGCCTCATTTTCGGATCTTCAATGACATGTCATCGGCAGTTCCTCTCAGCTGCCTTCCAATCCGGTTCATCGGGTGGGTCATTCTGGTGAACATGTGCCAGGTACATCAACACGTCTATCTCCTGAACACCACTGAAACATCAAGATACATCCTCATTCCTATTGGCTCTTTTACTTCCCTGACTTCCCTCCAACTCCCTCCTCAAGAAACCGTCAGGCCCGGCCAACAACATCTCAAACTTTTTTCCTGTCATTTCTCATCTCTCAACATGTCATCCATGTCTTCCGTTTCTGCGCTGATCACCAACCGTCCACACTCCAAGTGCCGGAGGCCATCGATCTGCGGAAGCCGCTCCACGGACAGCTCTGCGCCCAGGCGCAGCCGCCGGAGGCCGCTGGGCCATGCGACGGAACGGAGACATTGGTCGAAGCCTTTGCCCAAGCTGAGGCTGTGAAGCTTCTCGGGGAAGATCACACCAAGCCTGAGATGAAGACCAGGACGCAAAGAAACGCATGTGTTTCTTTTCATAGAAGAAGATCACCGTTTCGTTTCTTCTGTTGATATTGGTATGGTGGGAGTGGGAGGTGACAACATTTTCCAAGAATGACAAAGTAGCAATGGCTGATTGAAGCTGTAGCCCAAAGCCAGGCTTTGAAGAGTGCTGGGAAGTACTACGTCAAGCAAGCTTTGATCAAAGCCTTCGCCGAAGGTGAGGCTTTCCAAGGGCGGCCAGGTGATGCGATCCAAGGGCTGATTGAAGCTGCAGCCAAAGACCAGGCTCCTGAGACTGCTTGGAAGACGAACCTGTTCCAGACTGCAGTTAAAGGCTTCACCAAAGACCAGGCTCCGAAGATGGCTTGGCAGCGCAACAGCTTCCAAACTTTGATTGAAGAAATAGCCAAACGTCAGACGTTGGATGCTGTCGGGCAACATCACCCCTTCCAGTGTCTGATTGAAACACTCGCTGAAGGTAAGCTCTTGGAGGTTCTTTGGCCATATCACATCTACCAAACTGTGGTTGAATCTATATCCAAACGTTAAGCTTTGCAAGCTCTCAGGAAAGGCCGCCGGTGCGATCCATTTTTGACACGTTTTGCGCACGTCGAAGGTTAGCTCTTCAAGGTTTCTGGGCCAAATCAGTTCGCCGATGTCCTGTTGCAACGTTAGACTTCGAAGACTTGGCAAAGTCAACTTGTGCAAGTTCACATCGCTGCTGAACACCAGGTGTTGAAGGTTATGGGGCAGGTTCACGTCGGCCAAGCTCTTCTTGAAGCAGTCCCCAAGTGTCAGGCTCTGGAGGTTGCTTGGAAATGTCACTTCTTTCAAGCACTGGTTGAAGTAACGGCCAAACTTTAGGAGCCTTAACTGATCTGGTAGAACCACTCCTCGCAAGCTTTGATTGAAAGTATGGCCGAATGTCAAGTTCTGGAGATTTCTTGGCAAATGGCAACCTTCCAAGCTTTGGTTGAAGCCAGTTCCGAAGATTAGATTATGAAGATCATTTGGCCATATCACTCCTTGCAACTTCTGATTAAAGTTGCTGCCAAATGTCAGGCTATGAAGCCTCTCGGGCAAAGCAACCCCATCCAAACTCTGGTCAAAGAATTCACCAAGTGTGAGGTTCGTAAGGGTACTGGGCCAATTCACACCCAAACTCTGGTTGAAGCAACTCCCCAAAGTCAAGCTCTGCAGAGTCTTTGGGAAGTCGACCCTTTCCAAACTCTGATTGAACTTCCAACCCAATGTGAGGCTCTGCAACTGGCTGGGCCAAGTGATATTCTCCAAGGTCTGATTGAAATGCCACCCAAAGGCCATCCTTCGGAGATGGGGCCATCGGAAGTGGAGCAAACTCTGGTCGAAGCGATCGCCGAAGGTGAGGCTCTCTAAAGCAGCTGGAAAAGAAGGCGCCCTCTCCGTCTGATCGCCGTGCGTCTCCTCGACTTCGTCGAAGTCCTGATGGAAGGTCCGGCTGGAGAAGAGACTTTGAGTTTGCAGTGAAATCGTTTCCCATTTGGGGCCCAAACCCATGGCCCAAACCAGGTCTTCAGTACAAACGACGAAATAGGTCAGCGATGCCTTGCCCTGTTCTACCAGGTTTTGTAGAACATGGCAGCCTAATTGTTCTTGGCAGTGCGGACTGACATTGATTGGTTGTTGCGTTCCATCTACCGCTAGACCCCATCGAGAAATGATGAGAACCGCCTTGCCTCTTTGAAATGGTGTGGACCGGATGCCAGCTTCCAACAAGGCAGGCAAGACTGATGGTTGTAAAACATTTCTGGAGCTGCTCATTCTGATGATTTGGAAGAGATCAGAAAGAAGAAGAGGAACTGCTCTAAAAGAACACCAAAGCATTCATAGCCCGCTCAAATGTACGCAAGTACTGATCTTTCCTTACTTTTTTCTTTTGCCATTGATCTGAGATTAATCTTGTTTCTAAGTCTCGATCCGAAGCTTCTTCAAAGTACTGGGCAAAAGCTCCGGTTTTCTGGCGACGTCCACGAGTTCGGTGAGGCCCTCCAAGAGCTCCTGTCAACGGCTAACGTGGGTGCGATGGGGGCCATGGCCAGTGCGGCAAAAAAACGAACAAAGTTGGACATCATAGCGTCCTGGCTCCAAGTAGTAAGGCCAGGAGCCCCTAGTAGCTTCTTGCTCCTAGTAGTAAGGCCAGGAGCCCCTAGTAGCGTCCTTGCTCCTAGTAGCGATGCCAGGAGCCCCTAGTAGCGTCCTTGCTATGTTGCTACAGACTCCAGGCTGGTGATTCTGTGCGAAAGAACGCCTTTCTCAGGCATGGACGGCTGCTTTGGGACCCGCTCCTGGCCCTCCCCATCGCTGGGATCGGACAGGAAGCGCCAGGCGTCCAACAAGTTCACCGGACGGTAGACGAAGGACAAGCACGGCACGTCGGACGCGTCACCGCTCAGCCCTTGCTCCTTGAGCGCTCCGAGCTGGTTGGGGTGGAACAAAGAAGGCTGGTTTGAGGCACAAACATCAGACGTAACCGTTGCCAGTCGCTGAGGTCTGGCTTGGAGGTTTCTTCGGTGAAAGGCCGGAGTCTCCTGAGCCTCACTGCTTGAGGGTACTCGTCTCAACTAGTCTATCCATACCCAACCTGGACTCAGAGCCAACGTGAGTGTTGGGCCCAGAGCCCAACTATTCCTTCCAGTTCACCCTCAACATGTTCATTTGTTTCATTTTCCCCAACCCCATGTCAGGTTTCTATCTACAACTAGCGGACTCAGAGTTTTAAAACATTCTTCAGTCTTTTCTGCTTTTGTCCACTCTTCGAACTCGCAGTGCTCCTTCAAGGTCTTCTTCATGCAAAGCTTCTCCGCTCCCTTCAGCAGCACCACTCGAGCGCCTGCCTTGGGCGGTAACTGCTCAACGACCCGCTGCCACAAAGCTCGGCCCAGCAGATTCTCGTCCACGTGGAAGGTGAAGCTCTGGCCATCCAAGCCTGACACCTTTGGCAGCTTGACAGCGGGAAGCACGTGCAAATCAAGAGCTTGCACGTCTTGGTTACGATATACGGCCGAGTAGCCCAACAATTTTAAAGGTGGCTAGTTGAATGTTTTGGGGTGCCTCTATATTGAGCATGACCATTATAATTAGAGCACCTGATTTTAAGATTGGATGCCCTCGCTTTGTGTGTTTTGAGCCCTCAAAAGTAGGATTGGCTTCTCCCCGTCACTTCCAAGCCTATGTATGGTTGCTTTCGGAAAAGGTCAATAGCAGTTGTCCCTTTGCACTCGACACTCATTTCGTCGAGATAGCGCCTGAAGCTTTAGCAGCTGCTCCTCTGTCGCCATGGTGTTGATTCAGCACTGATCGAGAAAGAAAGAAGCGGAAAAGCTGTGAGGTCGCATGTAGAGCACTGACTATTCTGTCAAGCAACCTAAGGATGAGAACTTGTGGTCCTGGGACTCAAAGACATATGAACCGATCAACCCAAGCTTTTGGGTGTGCTTCTTCCTTGCTTCCTTTTCACAATGCTGAAGGGACTCCATCCCTTTGGATGTGCTTCCGGATTCATCTTACCCTGCAACCTCCAACATGGACGGACGGGCTTCTTTTTCAGCTCTAGTCTTCCACGCTGATCTGCATCCCATCGCTCTCCAAACTTCGAAGTCTCTCGGGCAACGCCGCTGCAAGTCGCCAGCCATCGAAGCGGGTCAGGTCAATGGGATGAAGCACTGTATCAGTACAAACAATGCTTCTGCTTCTGCTTACATCTGCTGCTTACCTTTCCTTCAGAGACCCAGTGCCATGTGACTTCCATTGAACCGCCCACGGCGGGCAGCGCCCATTGAGACCGAAAGCGACCGGTGACGGTGCCGGTGACGTGTTTCCGCCAAGAAACCCTTCACCAAACGACAGATCTTCGAGGCTGTTGGGGAAGGCGACCTCTTCCAGGGGTTGGTTGTTTCAGCCGCTTTCAGCCAAGGTTAATTTCTTCAGAGTGCAAGGCCATTGCACATCCTTCAGACTCTGGTTGAAGCAATCGCCGAAGGTCAAAAACAATGCATGCGCCAACCTAAGCCCGTAGGGCTTTGCAAGTTCTTGGGCAACAGCTCCCCATGCAGTGCCTGATTAAAGGTGTTCCCCAACGACAGGCTTTGAAGGTTCTCTGGCCATGTGACTCCTTGCAAACTCTCATCGAAGTGCTCTCCAAAGGACAAACTCTCAAGGCTGCTTGGAAAGGTCTCATTGGACACCTCCGAAACGAACGTTGAGCCCAGCAGAAGCGTCCGCAGCGTCTTGGGAAAGACGACTCCCTGGAAACTCGGCTCGAAGAAATCTCCAAAACCCAACTTCTCAAGGCTGGGCCAAGTGACTTCTGCCAAGTCTTGGCTGAAGCCCAAGCCCAACTGCAGCCTTTTGAGGCCACTGGGCAGTGTCATCGGTGCCAAACTCTGATTAAATGCATCGCCAAACTGAAGACTTTCCAGGTTTGCGGGCAGCACTCTACCCAAACTTTGATCGAAGTCATGACCAAATGTCAAGCTTAAAAAAAAAAAGAGCGTATAGACGATGACTATCACCATCATTGCCGAAGACATACATGGAGAGTAGCCAGTGCGAGCCGCGCGTCACCGCACGGCAAAATGACCTAAGTGGCCTTAGTCTAAGCGGTCGCCGAAGCGAAGGCTCTGAAGGTTTTGAGGAAGTGTCACTTGATCCAAAGGTTGGTTGAACTCGAAGCCGAAGCTGATATGTTGGAGATGCTTGGGGAAAACAAGAGCTTCCAAACTCTGGTTGAAATGTTCAGAAAAGGAAAGGCTATGAAGCTTACTTGGCAATGTCGTCCCTTCCAGTCTCCTCAACTTGGCAAGAGTGAGTCCATAAAGGTTATCTGGAAACACTGGCGTCTTTTTACGGTTCGAGCCAACTTCTGCAAGGACCGGTAATGCTTTTGTGAAGCTCCAAGCAGCCCAACTAAGGCGCAGCTCCTCAAAGAAAGACCTGTTCACACCCAAGCAAGGCAACTGCAGTAGAACTTATGCTGGGCCTGGGCTATCCGTTTTCAGCCTTTTTTCATGTGGGTAGCTAGAGGGAAATTAGCACATGCCGTTCATGCCTTCAACGGACAGGTGGAAGTGCATCCTCCAATCAACCTCTTGACCGAATGCGAAGCTACCCACTCGAACCGCTTGGTGACAAGGCGGAGTGGATTTCGACCCGACTTCCCAACGCCAACTCGCCCGTCGCCAGGGTTTTCATCTCGGTTTCTCAGCCAGAGGACGCTACTAGGCTCCTCTAAGAGGACGCGACGAACGGAGCATTTCGGGCATCGCTACGAACGGAACACGGTTCGCTCCGAACGGGGCTCCTGGCATCGCTACTAGGAGCGATCGGACGCTACCAGTCGCCCAGTCGCCCCACCTGTCCCAGTCCAACGTGCCCAGTCCGCGCCTCGTGCTCCATGGCAGAGGCGGCGGAGGCTGCGCGCAGCTCCAGGAACTTCTCACACTCCTTCCGACGGTTTGTACCGGTTTGCCCGGTTTGCACGAACCGAACAGGACTCCTGGCCTTACTACTAGCAACAAGGACGCTACGAACGGGGATGTCCGGGTGGGTGGTCCAAATCACTCCAGACAGCGCACGGTCGCGTCGCAGGTTCCGGTGCGACCCCGTGGCGCCCAGTTCAGGGTCGGAAGTCAACGAGATCGATGTGGAGTTTTCCCTGGGCTTTCCTCTTCGAAAAGACTCGTTGAACTTCGATTTGACTGTAGTTGAAGAAACGCGAGACTTGCGAAGAGAGACTCGTGCTTGCAGCTACACTGGAATGGCGTGATCCCTTCACAAGGAGGGATTCCACACACCCATCAGGAAGGAAGTTCGACGATGGTCATGGCCGGGCTTCACATGGGTTCACCGTTGACGCCGTTGACTGGACATACCGAGTTTGTCCATGGGCAGCTGGTTCATCACCAGACATGTCAGACAGGTGAGCCATTCCTTGTCACGGCACCTGTCACCTTGGACCCTGGAGAGCATGATTTTCAACATGGAGAACCAACCTTCGACACTTCCCTCAGCCAACCCCTACCCAACCAACCCAACCACCAAGAACACAGGGACCTCGGTGACGAGCTTGATCTCACTGTGGACACCGTCAGCCTCGGTGACGAGCGGAACTGGGTGACATGGGCAAATGGGCGGATGGGCGGATTTTGGTTTTGGAGCACCTGAGGGTTGGGCCGAAGAACCCACCGCGCCCTGCAGCCATCCCATTGGGAGAGGAGATCCCTCAGTGCTGTTTGAGAGGAGATCCGCTTGAAGACACCCTGTAGGCGATGAAGAGCATCCCAGTGTCTTGCTGTGGGAACCTTTTGGAAGCTCCACCTCCACCGAGCAACCTTGCTCCACGTCTTCTGACCGCCATGTCCCGGTGTCTCACTGAACTGAACCCTATCAAAGGGTCCAATCACTAAGATGGAAGGCCATGCACTGAGGTCTCGGGCCAAGGGCAAGGCCACCAGGACTTGTGCCAAGAAATGCGAATAGAGCAGCTGCAGCCGTGGTTCCCGAGGCCATGAGTCGGTCCAATCCAAGCTGCGGCTGCTCGTCTGCGTCGACAGGGGACACTCGACTCTTTGGATGCTTCAAGAAATCCCTCTCTCTTTCTATAGCAACGAACGCAAGAACTAGATCCGTCTGCTACAAAAGACCTTGGTGTCTCATACGGATCTGCGTTAGGCTCTCACGAGTCTCGTGACCAACCACTTCGCCTCTTGAAGCTTCGCCGCACTCGGCGATGCGCGTCGAGCGAAGGGCTTCAGCCGCCGCGAGAGGCCCAGCTCCGAAGGCAGCGCCGGGAAGCGGTCTGCGAACCGGTCTAGGGGGGGGGGATGAGCACCCCGAAGTGGGCTGAAGGCCTGAAAGGCTCGGAAGTGGGGAAGAGGCTGAGTTTGCTGTGGTTTCATCGAGGTTCTGATGTGAACGATCTCTTTTTCAGGACGACATGGACTGAATCTTGATTGAAGGATCCTTTCTTTACGTGGAGAAGGGTAGTAGAGTGGACCTGTCTTCTCGATCTGGTGAGAAATCTCAACACAATTGATGCTTGTCAGTCTTCGGGATTCAGCCCCTTTCAATGATGTTGCACCGGTTTTTGGGCGCCCTTGGAATTTCGTCCCTTCCAATGTCGAGCCCTTCAATCATCTGGGCGATCTTTTGTACATACACTTCAGCGACCCTCCAATCGCGCGTGGTCTCGTTTTTCTCCTATAGAAACGCTTCCCTATAGAATAACGTGACCTATCCTGCGTCCAGTAGGCAGTAACGTACAAGTTTAACATGCAAGGCCTTACTTAATTAAGTCCACTTCTTTTTTTCATCATCTCCTATGATGGTTTCGCCACGTGAAAATGGGATTCACCCATTTGATTTCACTCCCAACGAAAGAACTTCACTCCGCCTTCGCTGAAGCTGTTGCCCAGCTCTCCCACAATCGCTCGCAGCCATTTCTCTCGAGCATTGCGCCCTGGAAGCAACTGTTGGTTTTCACGTGACCCAATCCCATGAGGCTCGATTTGGCCTGTTCGTATATGCGACAAAACACGTGCGAGAACACTTCCAAGAACCGAAAGACCTCACTTAGACTTAGCTGCCTGGCTGATCCCAAACGACATGCCACCTTTCGTGTCGTCGCCCTCAGCTGGATCCGAAGCTCTGTCCGGCTCGTGCCGTGCGTGCTTCGTCCCGCCTGAGAGGGCAAAGGCCTTGGCCGCCTCCGTTGCAGCACGTGACAAGTGGTTGTTCTTCGAAGGGCCCAGGGCCTCACTTCCGCCCCGCAAAGGGACGAAGACACGGGGGTGTTGAGCTTTGTGCTCGACCTGGTTTTTCCATGTTTCTGCAAAGATGTGGTCATCCTGAGTCATCCCAAGTCATCAAGAACCAAAAGAGTTACAAACATCTGTCTCCAGATTTCTGCGGCCATGGCCGCCTAAACAGCGTGCATCACCGTGCGCATCGGCCCGTCTCTGGGGCCCCGCGACCAGCTGCTGTGGAGCTTGCCATAGCAGCGCTGCAAAGGCGTCCCGTAGCCCCGGGACCAGGCACTGCGGGAGCGCCTGGGACGGAGGTCTGGCGGTCGCGGAGGCGACCGGGTGGCAGAAGAGAACCTACGAGCGATGGCCTCCAAAGCTAGCAGAGAGCATTCTGAGAAGCGAAGAGAACTCTCTCTTCTCCTCTTCGATTTCCGGTTGGCAGGGATGGATCCAAGACTATTCCCAAGGTTGCAGCTGTCATAAGTATGTGAACCTGAATTAAGCTGTTGTCATCTTACGGCTGCTCGATGATTTTTTCACCGGCGGTTACAGCATTGGTCCCCCAGCAAATGCACGGCAAGTCTGCATCCAAATCCACATTTCGATGTGCACATCCGCCCCACGTCGCACCACGTCCCAGAGATCCTCCAAAACCAGTGACCTCATGAAAACAACGTCCATCCATCCATGAGCGCCTCATGAGACCCGTGAGCTTTCGCAACTCCCTCTGGCACCGATCGAGGTCGTCGGATTGGCATGTTTAGCGCTTGGCTCACAACTCCAGAAAAGGTATATAGAACGAGAAGGACAGTAGGGACAACCATGAATATTGGTCACTCATCTACATTTTGTTGTCCCATGAATGCCACCTGCAAGTTGGGTACAGTATGGATATATGATGATACATGCAAACCCATCCAAAAATATCTCTGGTATTCCGTGGGGACTTGCAGGTAGCCACAAGCTCCACAAGCTCCTGAAACCGAACAGCGGACCCCAAACATGTGAGTCTACCAGGTTGAACATGTTTTCTTGGGAAGGACAGATTCGGCCAACCTACTGTACGTCTCTTCTTGGTAGCACTCCCGTACCAAGAGACCCGTTGTGCGGCCTGTGGGTCGCGCCGCGCCAGTGCACACAGCAAAGCGGAGCCCTGCTGTCGAGAAGAGACGTCGAAGAGCGCCGGCAGCGCAGCGGCGCCCAGGGCGCTGGGATGACCTGAGCGGAGCGTGTCGCGAACGGCGTGCGTGCGTTCGCCGCGAACGTCAGGTCGGTCGAGTCCGGCTTTTGTGAAAGAATAGAATAGAACGAATTCTGGTCAGAAGAAGTCACAATAAATTGAAGACCTGGCTACCAGTTCTTTGGTCAAGCTCCGTCGATTTGTCCAAGTGAAAAAAACTTTTGATCCCACAGGTGTTGGAGGTGTAATCTGGAGCCCCAGTACGGAACAGGCAACCGAGAAACGAAGCATGCCAGCGATGGATTTGCCAAACAGGAACCCTTTGTCTAACCAATGTATGAGCACTGTACTTGTATGTACCCATGGGGGGTACATAAGGCACCCAAATCACCTAAATCAGCCAAACCCCGGATGCTCTGTAACTCGCTGCGACTCGTCATTTCATTCGCGGAAACACACTGTGACTCATCCGGGACCCAACGATGTCCACCCGACTCGTCTTGGTAGATCACTACGCCTCCACACAGCTCCACAGCTACTGAACCAACCAAAAGAACATGTAGAGCACGTCCGTTTTGACCGTTTCTTTTGATCACCCCCAAGTGAAGCACCAAACACTGGTGACCTACATCCTCTACTCTCCCTTCCTCCATCCTGCTCACACAGCTCCGCTCCAAGCGTCCCGCCAGCCCCGCCCGCTGCAGCGCGCGCAGCGCGCGCAGCGCCACCAGGCGCACTGGGCCGTCCGAGGGCTCGGCGCGGCGGTGCAAGCCCAGGTGCGCCAGGTGCCGCGCGGCGGGCGCGTGGCGCGCCAGCTTGGAGAGGTGGGTGGACAGGGAAGTCTTGGCTCCTGGAGAAGGGAGAACAGTGATCCAAACAAAGACATTCCGAAGTGGTTGGCCTGTTGTGAAGGGCTTTTTGGGGTAAAGGGTGGAGTCTGGCATGGTGGCTTTCTGTTGTGAATGTGCGCATGAACCATCGCAGTGCCCCACTGCCGAAACCAATGCCAAAAGGCCGGAGTAAAACCATCGCCCTGAGCTTTTTGGAATCTTTTCTGTTCCAATCGCGGAATCAAATCACCGCTAATCACCCCCAGAAAACTGATGGCTCCAGGAAACAAACACATCAATCCAATCCAGTCGTGGTGGACATGATGAAAATGACTCACCACTGGCAATGGCAGTGGTTAAACGGCTGAGTCTGGTAGATCGATTTGCCTTTCCTTTTCATTTCTTCCCCCCAAAACCTCCCGTGCGCAAACCGCATGCCGGCATGCCCCCCCCCTTTCTCCCTGCGTCAGCCTCCTGGCCGAGATGATCACACAAACTGGTCACCACCTCCAAGGATCGCTCCGTCAAGAGCTCTTCGCCTCGAGGTCTGGACCGATCTCGGGTGAGCGTGCGGCAGGAGGGGGTGCCGCTTGTTGGGGCCACAAGAGAGGGTGCGCAGAGAAGACAGAACCAAACCAACGAGAGGTGCTTGGTTCTTCGTTCCTTGTCTCAAAAACGCACATCTGGTCACATCGATGTCATCTGGTTCTTTTTTTTCCAGTGTGTTTGGAGCCACGGACCACATCATCTCTCACTTCCACTTCCCGTTTGAAGACCGACCGGATCTTCCGCCACCCCCACCTGAGCGTCTCACTATCACTTCAACGGATCCATGCCAGATATGAGCATTATTCCATTCAGCTTTGTATTTGCAATGACCAGATTCTCCCTAACAGCTGTGCTTGCAGGGGGCATTCTCTCAAGCATTGATCCCATACTTTAACGGATTCGCCAGCGTGGCCTCCAACAGAATCCAAGGACCCAAAGCCCCAGGCCTCCCTTTCGCAAGTTCTTCGACCTTGGGCGACCGCACCTGGTCGGTTCTCCAAGCCGGCATCCAAAATCGTCTCCACGGCGGCGCGCAGAAGCAGCGCCGAGTGGCGCTTCAGCGCGAAGCCCAGAGCCATGACCTGAGGTGGAGGGGAGCGAGTGAAAGCCAAAGCCTTTGACCTTGGACTGGGAATTCCCACTTTGCATCGTTTTGGTTGTATTGAACGAGGTATATGCTACCAGGACGTCAACGAGGGACGCTACGCCCCGTGCGCACGTGGCCTTCCGGCGGCGAACATTTCCACCGAACTGCCACTTTCGTTGGAGGATGCAAAAAGGCTTGGAACTTGAGGGTATTCTGTAGCCTCAAGTACTTAGGCCACTGATACAAGAAGTCCATGATGGTCTACCAGTGAAGACAAACAGTACACTTGGGGCCGCTGTTCTTCTGCCAAAACGACCAGACCACTTCGGCACACCCACCAAGCCCAGGCACCAGGGCAGGCAACGGAGCACGCAGGTCAAAGGACAGGAAGACCTCGTCGCTACGCGGCGCGGAACGTGGAGCGACGCGAACAGCCACGTGGAGCTACGTGAGACTTGGCACTTCAAAGGGACAGGACTTGGTAGTCTATGTTTGAGTCAACGTGTTCTATGTTTGAGTCTAGCTTTGAGCGAACGAAGCATTTGGATGGTCCCAACATGTTCCAACTCAAGTGGCAGTGAACATCATTCTCATTTTGTGCGGACGTCAAGAAATGTTCCTTTTTGTCTTCTTTTGCGGTTTTTCCCTCCGTTGGGGATTGTGAGGCCACTATTTCATTGTGAGAATGTGATTCGCTTCACGGAGCACCCTGTGATCCGGAAATCACACAGATCGCAGGCGAAAGATGGCTCTTCCGACTCTCCATCTGGGAAGACTCCCAATCCACGCTGGAGAGGTTCCATCCGATCCCACCGTTCGAGAGAAGCGTCCAGCCGAGAGCAAACCACCGTGACCGGCCCGTCCCGTCTCCTGCCACGGCAGCCCTCCCCCCATCCGATGGGTCGATGTGAAGGGCAAACATGGATGAACATCCACAGACATAGATGGCTTTTCATGGACATCTTCCAGGGTTTTCCATGGTTCATGAACATCGCTCATACAAAAAATAGAAACCTGGTCTTCGGTTCGCGACTCGTAAACGTAGTAGAGGTGAAGCGATTCGGGCGGCCCATGTCGAAGCCGCCAAATCTCTAGACCAGGGCCACCCAAAAACCACTCTTTGGTCTCAGCCCATGGGTTTCTTGATGTCCCATCTGGCCCACCGGACTGCTCAAGTACTACCTGCCATTTCCGCTGGTGTGGCCTTCTCGGTGTGTCCGACTCCCCAAGTACGTTTGCCGGTGGCTTTCTGCCGGCCTCGCAGGTGCGCAACAAGGTCTCCGCCAACTGTGTCCCGGCACCCACCGTGGGACGCGGACGCTTCCCTCGCGATGCCAGGGTCCTGGGCGGAGTGGGTGACCAAAAACACCAAATGTGCGAAGACGGAGGAATGGTAAAAGGTTGGAGGGGAGGGTAGTGAAAACATGACCAAAAACTGGACATCAGTGACCATTTTTTCAATACCCAGGCATACTGGTATTGGCATCTCTCAACCCTCGAAGAAAAGGACCCCGAGAGGGCTCAGTATCGCACGAAATCCAACGCCTCAGTCCACACGGTAAAAGCTCCAAAAAAGGACTCCGGCCCTCCACAGAGTGCCCAGCCACTTGGTGCCCAGTGGAACTTGAGGTGGAGAAACGATCCAAAGCGTCACAGAGTGTTGCAAAGATCTCCGGTTTTGTAGAGGCTCCATCTGCCGACCAATGTCCCCAAGTTGAATTGGGAAGTGAACTCCAAACCTGGACTTTTTCTGAAGAACTTTTGAAGCTCTTGAAGAATTGGACTTTCCCCAATCCCCTTCCACCCGTTGAGCAGCACTCACCTTCCACTCGTTGGCCCAGGAACGGCCGTGCAAGGCCTAGATCTGTGGCTGTGGCCATTTGGTTCAAATCACCTGGGTGGTCATCCGCCGTGGGCACAGCTGGAGGGAGGGGTTTCTCTTTCGTGACACCGAGGTCGATGGAACACAGATCCGGAACGGCGGTGCCGTTCATACGGGTTCCGGCCGTTCGTCGAAAGGACGCAAGACGGAGAAACAACGTCTTTGATGTAACGAAAAAAGCAAAACCCATATCGACTCACCCGTAAACAGGTCCCACCAAAAAGGGAGGACATGACGCGAATCCATCTGTATGTGCAGCACCGACTCATGTGAAGCCGACAAGGATGCCCAGTGAACCCACCGAACCGGCGGAACCGGGACTGCCGGAGTGGCCGCCCTGCTGTCGGAGTGGCAAAATTCACAGGCGCAAGCGCAAAGCCAAGCCGCGCGCAGCACAGCACCGTTCTCTGCAATGTCCACCTATCTACAAAGAATCCGAACAAAGCAAACTGCATGGAGATACAGTGTATTCTTGCGTCATTGATGGCCATTTCACTTTGCCTTATTTCGTGGTTGGGTTGGTCCAACATCGGGATCTCGCGCAATCGCGCAATCTGCTTGCTAGAGGGTTTTGGGCAATGGGCGCTTCTTTGATTCTGTTTCGTGGACGTGACCCTTGATCGAACGCCGACTTCACTCTCAGACTCCGGCCCCTCCGGTAAGAGCTCAAGTGAACAAGGGGTTTGAACAAGGGTTCGGACATTCTGACAGCAAGTTGAAGGGGATCTGCTGCGAAAAATGGATCAAACGGGTCACAAGCCTTGCCTGGTATATCTGAAGTGTCCATCCGTGGCTGTTCAGCCACGGCGCGAAGGCATGGGGTTTATGTGGGATGCTTGAAGGATTTCAGTGCCAAGTGATCTCATCTGACACCCTCACTGCCCCTTGGGTGCGCAAACGAGCATTTGTCGAAGCTGTCGATTCTCAATGGAGCAGTCTGAATGTCTGCAATGGAGCGGCAGTTGTCGCTGCACTCCCAGAGCGGCACGAGATGTCTGGCCTGCAGGCAGCCAGTGCCCATCTCCGAAATTCCACGGTGCCCCGGCGGTGGGGATCTTCGCTATTCATGCGAGCACAAATTCTCCAGGCCAAGCAGTTGAAGGTCTTGCAAGCAGGGAGCTGCTGCTCTCGTGCATAGATGCTCAGCGCTTGAGAGATATCGTTTTGGGAATATCCACTGCAGTATTGACCAGCCGGTTTTGGCTTCTTTGAGAGGACACCGGCTTGTCTTAGAAGTTCAACGATCTGCTTCACTCGAGCTGCCGATGTTGTTTGCCGATGCCACCAGGTTGGGTGTGCATCCTCTCTAAATGCGGCCCGCAGCTTTTCTTTCACATCGCGCGTGCAGTCTGAGCGCCGAGGCAGCAAGTCCAACTTCCGCAAGTGGTGCTTGTTGTTCGGCTCGTTGACAAAACAAAGCATAGCCTCGAACTCATCAGCATTCTGTTCATCAAGGTAGCCCAGCTGTCTTAATGCTTGAAGTGCCAAGTCTCTTGAATCTTTCAAAACAAAGGGCCCACCACCTCGAAAAATCGATTTGGCGCGCTTGCTTCCAAACGTTTGCCGGGTCTTCTCATTACTTCGCCCTAAGGGACCACAAGGGATGAACAATGCAAGCTGGCCAGAACTTTTCTTCCAGGTGGATGGCTTCGTTTTGATGACTTCGTCTACTGCCAGCATCGAAAGCTGACTTGGAAAAACAGCGAGCTTTCCTAGACCATTCTCATACCAAAATTTTGCAGAGGCTGGTCCAACGTGCCCTGTGTATCCCAAATCATCAAGAAAACATGTCACACGTTCCGAGCGCTGTTCAACAAAACAATGGCGATCCACAAGTTGCACTGAGCCAGTGCCGTCTGCATGAAGGAAAGCACGAACACGTGAACCGCGCTCTTTGCGAGCATCTTCCAACTTCAAGACCTCCAATATCCATTCTCCTGATATGCGGCCACCACAGAGCTTCTGTACTCAGGGACAAGCACCAAATACTTAGACACTGTGGCTTCAAGAGTCAGAATAGTAGCAATAAAATCTGCATCTCCAGTCAACAATGCAATTCGGTGCACTCCACGACGTGTGGACAGTTCCTGCATGGCGCATTGAATAGCCTTATCATTGGGCTCCGTCGAGCAATCGCTTGACCGGAGAACTGGCCGGAATGTGATGCCAGGCTGGTTCAGAAGTTCACTCCACTTCCTGTTCTTGGCTCGACCTGGTTCGGCAAAAACACTGGTGTGAACCTCACCATCCATTTCTTTCAAACAGCTGACAGCTTGCTGAATTTCTGCAATGCTGTGTGAATCCGCATCCACTAAAAGCTCAGTGATGGGTGACGAGGCCAATCCAACTCGACCGAATCTTCCCACAGTTCCTCGACCGAAGCGTCCAAAGAAGCGCCGAACGAAAGGCTTCGCGCCGAACGAACAGCAACTCAGAACCCACCAGTGCCATGGCTTTGGACATGTCTTTGGACGTCGGCTTGCTCGGCTTGGTCGGGGCGCTCCGAAAAGGCTGGCCTTCCGATGTGGAGGCGTGGACGTCACCAAATCCATGGAACTCGGAAGTGCCATGTTTTCTGGAGCCTGCCCTTCTGCTTGAGCCAGGCCGGCACAGACTGGCAGTGCTCATCAGCACCTGCCAGGTTTTTCTTCGGCCAGCCACCCGAAACACCCGAGACCGATACCGTGAAGCCATGGCCAAACGGAAAGACCATGCGACCTTTGACCAAAGAGGCCAACACAGTGAACTACTCGTTGCGGTCTTTTGCCACATTGCCACTCTTTGTCGTCTTTATTCATGTACTAAGCAGCTTGGACGGACCCCCCTCGAGGTCGAGTACCTCTCACAGCTTCAGAAAAGTGGCCCCGGGGTTCTCAAGCCTTTCCACCAGGTCTTTCAAACAAAGTCGAAGCTAGTCAGTGAAACCACTGATGAACCACACACAAATGCTCTAAGTGGATCAAACAAACGTACCAAACACGCACCGCTCCAATCCACTCGTCGCTCCGACCCACCAGCACCGTACGTCGGCCCGCGCAGCGGCACGCGGCACCTCCGGCGCTTCGAGCTGCGAGTGCAGCAGCTGCACCGCCGGACGCAGGTGTCGCAGCAGCCGTTCCAAGCGGCCCTCCTCGTCGACCGCGGCCCATTTCCGTCGACCCGGTCAACGTGAAGGATCGACGGTTCGGACCGCGGGGTTTGCGCAGAGGTGCGAACACGTCACCCAAAAAAGGGAAGCGTTTTCACCACGCAAGCAAAGAGTCCGACACGTCAGGAACCACATGTCGGTTTCTGTGACGAACAGGGCGAAAGACCGCGGTTGGGAGTTGGGAGGTCTCAAAACTCCGAGACGACGTCCCTCCGAGTTGGTGGTGCAACGACAAAGCCACGGGGGGGGCAAGGACAAAGCCAAGCTTTGGAAAACTCGTCTTTCCGAAGGCTCGTGTCTCGCGACACGAAGAACGCGTGACAGAAATCCAGTATTTTCACCAATCATTTCTTGTACATTCTTTTGGAACCGCATTTTACAAAAGATGATCTTCACACATCTCTGCCATTCCCCCATCTTCCACACGCTCCCAGCGGCGGCCACCGCCGCCAGGCACAGGCAACGCATGGCCGGACGCACCAGGCGCGAGGACTGAGAGCTGCAAAGCTGATCGAGGTGAGCCTTGGAAAGACCGGCCACCGGTGATGGGGGGAATGAACTGAACTCGGAGGAATGAACTGGTGGGGAGGACGATGGTTTTCTTTTTCGTTTTTTTTCTGCACCTTCCGAACTACATGAACTCAAGTGGATCCAACTGGATTGGTTGCGAAGGTTTTCCTTCGGTTTGTCTCCTGATTTTTCTTCGCAACTATGATGATGTTCGATGTTCAACAAAGAACAACTAATTGACGCCCAAAAACAAACTTTGCCCAAAAAAGGACATTTTCATCGTCTTGAGGCATGCCGCCCGTGTTTATGCGCACGCAAGTCGGGGTTTGTGACATCTGCTCTCGTCATACACCACAAATCCGCCATCATGAGCGGAACAAGGCATGGGCCATCCTGGGCACCGGCTTGTTGGACCCAGGATGCTTTGCCACGGGTCTTCTCTGTTGCTCTGTGTGTCAATGGGCGACGCTAATTGAACGTAGGCGCAGTGCTCTGTGAATTTCATGTCCTTTCAGTGTGTGTTTTTTCATCCTTGAACCCTCATATGTGTGCTCTCACGGCTGTGCTCCCATGCGTTCACTCACATATGCGTGCTCTTGAGCATGTGCCCTCATATGCGAGCTCTCTTTTGTGTGTGCTCTAGAGCGCGGAAATTCGCTCATCTATGCTGCTGTTGTCCTACTTCGCACTGTTTGGGGTCGCTTGCCGGGAAAATGATTTGATACTGTTGTGTTTTTTGACTTGAATTTGATCTTGAATTTGGTTCTTTTTTGCTTTTTGGATTTGGATTTTGTGTTTTTTCTCTTGCATATGTTCTTTATGGTAGACATAACTCAAGCCAACTCAAACCATCAAACGCTAATTGGTGAACATTGTTCAAACCCAATTTTGCCAGTGGCAGCGAACCTTCATCAGCGCATCATCTACACCATCCCATGGCACCACAAACCAATTCATCTGCGCACCTCCTTTGGGTCAGCCGCGTGAGTTTCCCAAGTATCCCAACAAAAGTGTTTGTGAATGCTTTTGACCTTACATATTTTACACTACGAAACTGTTTCTAGTTTCCGTGGCGTATTCCGATCCATCGTCCATGCCTGTACCGGGACGAACCATGGTTAAAACCAGGACGCTTTAAACGGTTTGCCCCGCCGTGGCTGTGCGGGAAAAACATGTTTTCTTTTTCCCGAAGACAGCTGACAGTGTACGGGCGTGCCCCAGAGGGTCGCCGCACAGGGAGCCACCCAATGACCCGGGCGGGCGCACTTGGTTGACTTGGGTGTTGATAAGCGCGTCTGTCAACTGTTAGGGAGGTTGAACTTGTGCAACGGTGGCACCCAGGGCCCACATGGTCTTGTACTTTCCATGCCCCCTGTCTTCTGTGATCCACATGATGAACAACAACTTTGGATACCTGGAAATCACAACATCAATTGACATTTACATTTCGGCATTTCGGCATAATCATGACACGCTCTTGTGCTAGCATTGTTGGGGCATCACCGTGGGTTTATTCGGCAACGCTGAGGAGAGTTGGGCATCTAAGCTGGTCAGGGCCTTGCTTCGTTTCCACTTGGCAGCCATGACTCGACAATTGTTCAACAAGTGATCGGAATATAAACATTCACCGGACTGGTTCTTGGGACCCTACCTTTATGATTCTTTTCATCCCTTCATAGTCTTTGTCCGTTCTGCCTGTCCTTCTCGTTGCGTTTTGGCAATTGGGGTTCCCTCTTAGCATCCCCACGCATTCTTTGTCCGTTTCGCCTTTTTTTTAATTGGCGTTCTGTCTGTTTGTAGAGAGCATGTAAAGGTGTTCAGGGAACACTAACCAATCTCATTAGTTAATGCTAGTGAAGCCGATTTTCAACAGCATCAGCTCTTCATGCAGATTTAGGGCTTGCGGTGTCTCGGAAAGTTGGATTTGCTTGCGGAGTCGGGACAAGTGATAGATCGTTTGGGCTGCTGTTGATATTACCTCTTGAAGTAGTCGGGGTCTAATGGGGGATCCGGTCTGTATCTGTTGGGCTTCTCTGGAATTGGGGGATTGTTGATTTCTACCTACTAGCTTTTTGGGGTCAAGCCGCCTTGCAGCTTGTGCAGCCATTATCTTGTGACAATGCAGTGCGCAGTAGGCACCTACAATGTAATGTCTTTCCAAGTGTGCGCTGGCCAGCGCTTGGCCGGTTGACTCCGGCGTTGGAGGTACACCCATGGGTTGAGGAGCGTGTCGAACGCTGCAGACAGTAGCTCCTCACATCCGTTGAATATCAGAATATCAACCCATCTTCAACCTCTATGAGAAACTCGCTGGTGATATTGTCGAGTTCTGGTTGGGAACATTGGAGCTTGCAAGCCCCTCGCCTGCTCAGGCCCCTCCAAGGCCATGAGCACGAGAGATGCCTCTGGGATCCAGTAGACATCCTGCCATGGCTTGATCCTGTCCTCTCATCTCAAGCACTGCCACTCGTCGAGGTTTTCTCGAAGGCCTGAACCCAAGATCTTTCATGACTTCCAAAGCCCTATTCATCACTAACAAAAACACTCCACCCATTACCTCCAAAACGCCCAACACTTACAATACTTTGAATAAAACCATTCCAGCTCTGCATCGGATCCTGCGCCGCGCCTGCTGCGCCGGAAAAACGACGAAGAACAGCGGGCCCTACCTGGAAAGACCCTCGCCGCCACGGAATCTACCCTTCAAGGTCCGCAAAGTACTGAGCCTGCCACGAAATCTACACTTCAAGGTCCACAAAGTGCTGTGCCTGCCACGAAATCTGTACTTCAAGGTCCGCAAAATATTGCGCCTGCCACGAAATCCACACGTCAAGGTCCACAACGTGTTGCGCATGCCACGAAATCTCATGATGCCAAAACGCAGCTTTCGCTCGAGACTTCTTCCCATTCCTGAAAACGCGCCACATGTCCAAAAGTCAGGATTCATTGCACCGGCCATGAAATCAGAGCATGCCGAAGACCACCGCCATGTCCAAAGTACCCCGCGTGCCGCGAAATCTGTGCATCGACGTAAACCACTCCGATCTACTGCGCCTGTCACCAAAACACAAGTATTCCCTGGTGCTTGTCACGGAAAGTGATCACCAAGCCCGAAAATGCACCGGAACGAGAGCGCAGTCTCGAAGAGCACTTGCGCCGGCCCACCAGATTCTGCAAGCCTTCGCAGTCGATGCGCTTCAAAGATCTCGAAATCAATAGCAGCAAATTAGCGAGGCCCGGCTGCGAGCACCTCGATCAGAAAGAAAAGAACACACACACACCAAAAAAAAGATTGAAAGAGGGACAACATCAACCCAAGCAGAAAAATGAAAGTGACAAAAAATCTGGCAAGGCCCTGGCTGTCGGCCTCATCGTCCTG